TCGTAACACTGTGCTGACGTGTCGTCTTCTATCTGCATTTTTTTACCACAACACCAAAAGGGTTCTGGCTCGCGTACGATAACTTTAGGTCTTAGACAAATTATGCAAAAGTCGTTAACGAACTTCTTACATTCGTGCATCGTATATCTAAGGGTTATCTTTCCCTCCGTTTACGATCCCCAAATAGAGCAGCAGTAAGGCACATTTCGCGCTGCAGGCGGATCGCGCAAGACCCCCTGTAGGGCGGGTTACCGACCTCTAAAAACCCACCCCCCCATGGTGTTTTTCGACTTGCGATTTTTGGCAATGCCGGCAATTCGCGACTCCGCCTAACTGCTGCTAACTAACAATCTTTAATACTGACAGGGATCAATCACTCGTATATAACAAAAATAATTGATTTGAGGATTTATTGTCATTGGCAGTGTAACATCCAGTTAAACAGAAAAATGTTGTCTGAGTTAGCCATCCATGAACCTAGGTCTTTTAAGGTTAGTGAATTTATTTGTTCTTTGTTAATACAGAATATGTTAACTTATGCCAATCTTGACGCGGTTTCAAGGAGGTGGGGAGGGGAAGGGGTAGTGGCTGTTACCTAGAAAGGCATCACTTTGCATCTTTTCTAGGTCTTACCTTATCCTTTATTCCAATTATTTTCAACTCCAAAGGGGTTGGCTACCATCAAATTAACCCCCCTGGATCTGCCCTTGGATCTTTAATAAAGGGAGCTTTGGGCTTATTAGCAATTAGTCCTCGAGCCCAAATGGGCTATAGCTTATTGGCTCATAGGCCATGAGGGCGAGAGGACTAATATTGTTTTAGTTAAATCCAACTAGTTTGTCAAATCTAAAGATGCGAACAAGCTTTAAATTAAAGTCAAATTAATGAATACAGCATTAACAATCGTCCACTAGTTGGATTTCACTAAGTGCTTTAAGTGTCAACACAAATCAATACACTTGTAAAATCATCTCAAAATTTTCATCAACCAAAGAAGGGATTCTACTTTTCACAAAAATACAATTTTGATGCTTTGTTTTATTTATTTACTTGTAGAGTCTTGCAGATCTTGCAAAGCGACGCCTTGAAGACGGATTATTGGCAGCTATTAGATAATCTAATTAGTTAACATTAATTTAAATTTCGTTTTTAATCGGCATTTCGTTGTATATACTGTGTAAGATATGTGATTAAAAGTTCATTTTCGTTTTAAAATTGTGAATTGGGACGGTTTTGATAGGCCTTTGCGTCATATACTGCTACTACCAGGATCCCTTGCGCACTTTTGGTGCAGCGTTAACTAGCTTTTCCAGCAACAAAAACATGTTATTAGGGAAATCAACTACTACCGGCAGTAAATAAAACACGCGTCTACCCACTGAAAAGAAGGAAACGAGAAAGGCCTTTTATTTAGTATTAGTCACCTTACATTTGCTGTATTAAATGTACTGACACAAAAACAAAGCTTGGGTTCCCTGTGTGGGCAAAGTCACACAAACCAGCTGTTTTTGCCACGATTTGAGGTGCGATTTTTGCGGCGTTTTTGATCATAGTCCAGAATGGTAGAGGATTAACTTGTAAAGTTTTATTCCGGACACCAAGTTTACCTAGACAAATACATGCAAAGTTTAAGACAAAATTCATTATATTTTTAAAAATCGTAAAAAAGATAAGAAAATCAAACTAAAAATTGAAATACTACTGTAAAAAACGGCAAAAACAACATACGTACCAATGGCTTTCTTCTTCATTTCAGTCGTTAATCTTTTGAAAAATCCCTGATAAAAAGTTGTTACTAAAAACTTAGATTTGTCTCACAGGCTAAATTACCCTCGCCTCCGAAAAGCCTGGCAAGCCAGACCACAGGAAGCCCAAGCTCTGCATTCGTGTATGCGCTACTGCATATTTTATGAATAAAAAGCCTTGAAAGGTACCTAATTGTTTGTGCCGTTTAATAACAATGCAGCTACTTCAGTGCTAGGGTATTCGTTTCTATGCAGTATATCCTGATCCACTTTCCCAGAGGAAGGGAAAGCGTGTTTAATGAAACTTTTTCAATGTTATGTCAAGTATAGGTCACGTTCATCAGTCTGGCACGGATGCAAGACAAAGCCTGTTGACTTGGTTCAAAACACCTTGGATACCGGAAATGCAACTCCAACGCGTCATAGACGTTTAATTTCAAAGCATTTTTCAACAACAAAAAATCCCTTTTCTAATTTTAAATTATCAAACGGAAAAGAAATACCTCGCAATTAAATCATGGAGATTTCATAGATCTTTACCTGCCGTTAGCATGGTTTTCTGACAACTTTAAGAGAGGTTTATACGTAAAGAATCTCAAACTAAAAATCATTTAACACAAACCTGGGCTTTAAAGTCGTGTTTAATTTTGCACTTTGACACCGTTTTTTGTACAACTTCTTTTCCATCTGTGGCTGATGGAGTAGGCACGTACGCCTCTAGCCTTAACATGAGAACGCCCCTTAATACGTGACATACCCACCCCACCCCCAAGAAACGCACGAGAAAACTGGCAGCTTCAATATTATGATTAGCGTGACGGACCATTAGGTCTTGATGGGGGAGAAGGGGGGCGGGAGGTTGCGCAAATCCACAGGCAAAAAATTTATCGAGCAAGCATACGAAAAGCAATTGCAATATCGCGCAGTATCTATACTTTCACTAAAGAAATATCGAGCAAACACAATACAATTGCATGCCAGGGTTACAAAAAAATAAATATCTAGCAGAATGGATTCCTGCTACCCCACCCCTTCCCCCATCAATTATCTAATGCATGGTCCATCCACATGAGAGTTCAGTCTATCCCACTGAGTATTTAGGCTTCATGGCTTTGTCCACACGCGTAGGAAAAGCATGACAGGTTATGTTACGTAAATGACTCAGATTTGAGTCGATCTCCCATGGTGCGTGTCAAGGTCTTTGTCAGTTTAAATTTTAGTTGAAGACAAAATAAAGACACCGTGTCTATAGATCTATCGATATTGATTCTTGAATTATTTCAGTGTTCAATGGTATTTACTCTTACTCAAGCTGGTTAGCTGAGCTTACCCTCGATGTGACAGTCACGAAACTCATCACGTAACGCACTCTATTCTCACTGTATGCGCTTGAAAAGTTTTAAAACTGAACTGTTCTATGTTAATGACAACCAATGTGCTGATTCTTGCATGGATGAGTAAAGGCGCGCGCGATTACACGGAGCAGTTTTCTCAGCATTACAGCGTGTAACCTACATCACAATTTGAAAAGATATGCGAGAAACGAGCCCAGAAGTTTACCCCTGGGTTCCCGAGGATGCAGCAATCTGCAAAAAGAAGAATTCGTTTCTATTTTTGGCAACAATTGCGTCTTCAGTTGCACCGTTTAAACACTATAGCAACTTGTCTCGCAACCTCCGTTAAGAAAAGTGAAAGAAACGAGAGAAAATTAGGAGAAAGGGAAAGTGAAAAACGAAAAATAAAATACAGAAATCGTACTTACTTTTTGTCCTCGCACAAAGATCAAAGAAGACGAAACACTGGAACTATGACAAAGCTTCCTTAAGTGAATTTTTTAGGGTTTCGAGAGCTTCACTAAATTTACATAATACCCTTTGAAAGTCTTAAATTAATTTTTTATAGGTAGTCACCGGCTTTTGTTAATAAGTACTTATTGACGTGCGAGTACACAAAAGCATCATATCTGGAATATCTAAATACAGGTTTACTTTAATCGTCAAATTATTCTGAAACAATGACTTAAAATAAGCTACTACAGTAACGTAGTATTGATAACAGTGGTTTGGATTAGGGATCGGTTGCTAGGGGACAACGCCCATCAGTGAGGTCCTGGTACTGGGTGTAGTGTGCGTTGCATTATGGTTGTATATCCAGTTTTAGCTGATCTCGATTTGTAACCTCAGATTTGAGCTCAAGTTTTCGCCAAAAAACCCTGAAAATAACCTTCATGTGGCTCCATAGACGACTAATAGAGGCTTCCAGGGTTAAATTAAACGATCTTATGGTTTTATGAGCAATATGGAGCGAAATTTTGCTCCCCTTTACGAGACTTTTTGGTTTACAGTGTTGTCGTTTGGCCGCCGGTAAGATTCACATTACAAGATGCAGTCAAAACGAGAGCAAGACGGCGATCGTATTCGCAAGAATACGAGGCAAAGTAGAAGCAGTGTTCACACTCCTAGGAGTAGCTCTAACTCTTCAAGTTCTGGAGTAATGATGGTGGGGCCAAACTTTCGCGTTGGGAAGAGAATAGGCAATGGAAACTTCGGTGAACTTCGACTTGGTGAGTCTCAAACGTTGACTGGCGACGTTGATGCTGCTTTGAGAAGTTCTCTTGTTTCTCAGACTTTCCGACCTCAATAAATTCCACCCAGCTTCTCAACACTTTCTTTGTTCATAATCGATAGTCTTAAACCTGCTTTTTAAACTATTTTTGTCGCTTTTATTATCAGGTAAAAACCTATACAACAATGAACATGTCGCCATCAAGTTGGTAAGTTCACTATGCTAATGTCCGGGCCGTTGTTTTTAAGTACAAACTTCACATTTTCAACCAGATAAAGCTATTCCTCTACTTATTTGATTATCTCTGCCTTTCCTTACAGGAACCTATGAAGTCTCGAGCACCACAACTTCATTTAGAATACAGATTTTACAAATCTCTCGGCAATGCAGGTAAGACTTTAAAATAAGGAGTCCTCTAAATAAATATGAAGTCGAAAGGCGAACAAATCAGCCAGGAAGTTACACCAAAAATAATTTTTCTCTAATTTTTGTGGTATTCATATTGCAACAACGAAGTCCAACGAGTGATATTTTTTTACTATTTCGTAATATTTTTTTTATTTCCATATTTCTGACGAAAGATCTAGAAGTTGTTTATTTACGCTACGAGAATTCCCTTTTCTTAAAATGTTGTATCTCTTTGAATATATTTTCCTGCAACAAAAAACCGTCTGCTGCTTTAATAACAATCTTAGGTTTATCTTTTTTCATATATATCGAAAATCTATCGACAAAATATCTTCATTATAAGGTTTACGGTATTTTTATTTACCTTTGATAAGAGCAACTTTACATTTATTGAGATTGAATCGTCAGATACGATTTTAATCAGAGAAAAATACGACTGATTTTTGATGACAAAAATCTCGTTTTCCAAACGAGAAAGTCCAGATATTCAAGGTTAATGATTTGTTAACTCGATCATTATCCTATTTATTGTCGAAGGATTGAATAATTTTTGAATTTATCAATGATTTTTGTTGTTGTATTGGTGAGTTTTGTAACCTAGTCGTTGTAATTAGCTAAGTACATCCAATATGTAACAAAGAACTTTATTAAAAATAGCACCTCCATTTTTACTTTATTTTATTGAACAAGAGTAATCTTGCCTTTTGGACAAAGTACTTTATCTCATGTTATTGTACAGAGTTCAAAAACAAAACTTGAAAAGGACAGCTTTGAATATACATATACTTTGTTTTGTAACTGGTTGAATTGTGATTAATAATACTTAACACCTTTATGTTGACCTTGGTGTGGTATAATCTGTGATACATGCATGATATCTGTGTTAGTTATGCATACAATTTATTTCATTCAAAACTGGAACGTACAAGAATAACAAATTGACATATTTATTGCTAATAAGTCTGTCTTATGAATACTAACATTACTGTGTTTAAGAAAAAGAAAGGTATTTTGTATTTATAGAAAAATTAGATGTATTGGCTATAATAGTTAAAACATGTTGGTACCAGCTGCAATTAACTGCGAAGTAAAGAAAAGTATTCTGTATTTATGCTGAAAGAGATGTATTTTCTAAAAAAGTGGAACATGTTGGTTTAGCCTGGTTTTAACTCCTTGGAGGCATCAATTATAATTTGCCCCCATCCATGACTTGAGCTCCAATTCAATTATCAAAGGAAAAAACAATTCTGTTTTATACAAAAAGAAATGTATTGACTGACATAGTTAGTTAATATAACAAGTTGGTTAGTATTTTTAAGCCGTCATAAATAGTTATCTTAGCTTAATTAATGTTTTAGACTGTAACCATTTAGCAGCACTAAATTCAGGCTATCGTTCTTTTGCTTATTTGTCTGTATTCCTTAGATTATGCTTCAGCATTTAAAAAAAAACACAGATTACTTGTTCAGTCTTAATTGGAGTAATCTGAAAGTGGGAGCATTTTGAAAGAGGCCTACATACTATCAGAATGAATAATTCTCATTCAGTAATCCTTGAAAATCTAGAATCAGAATTATGTCATTATGTAGCATGTTTGGGTAGTATTGTGCTGTACGGGAATTATCAGGGGGATGATTCTATTCAAATTTCGATATGCAAATTCCAAAATCAAAGTCCCACTTGTGTGTGCGGAAACCTATGATGCACTTGGTTGCATTTTTGCCTTCCTTAACTTATTGACATTCTCTGGTTCTTGCCAAGCAAAACCTGCATGCTAAATTCTAGTTTTGTTATTGTGTAAATAGTAAATAGCTAATAATATTACTTTATTTATTGTATTGTAAATGCATTGAGATTTTTAAAATGCTTATTAAACATTATATTATACTATTAATTTTAAAGTTAGCGACACCCCAACTAACATCAGCCGAGATGTTAAATCATGGTTTGATAAATTTTTGTTGACTCATTTCTTTGGGAATATACTCTGCAAATATTCCTTTTTGTTCCTAAAAATCAATTCATATCAAAAAGATTTCACTAAAGTTATGCACAAATCTTGAACCGTGGAAAGCAGTGCTGGGAAAAATATAAGAGCATAAATCTGATACTTGAGAACTATTTTCATAATGTTTTAGTATCCATTATTACAGTTTTACTATTATCTTATAGATCCTTTGGTTTCAAATTCAAAGGGTGCAAAAAATTTTATCAAATTAATTTTTTGTTAACATTGTATTGAAATCAATTCCATTTTAATCAAAGGACAAGTTATTATCTTTATAATGTTTTAGTATCCATTCTTACAGTTTTACTATTATCTTAGATCCTTTGGTTTCAAATTCAAAGGGTGCAAAAAATTTTAACAAATTATTTTTTTGTTAACATTGCATTGAAATCAATTCCATTTTAATCAAAGGACAAGTTGTTTGTCTTCGTGTTAATGTTGTTATTACCTTACTAAGATTTTTAACTGCTAGAAATGCAAATTCTGTTATGTAAACTTTAATAAATGAATTGACATTAAGAAATGTCAAATCTGAATTCCTTACATTACATATTTTTGATAACTTTATTCACATGTCATAACTTAAAAGTATTGCTTTCCTTCTCCTGTTCTTCTTCTAGTTCAGAGTACACATTCATTTCTTTTAGCTTAAGAAGCACCTGCATAGTGTCAATACTGTCCCAGATTGTCCCAGATCTTGATGATTTGTAAAATAATAAATACATCATCCTTGTTTTATGAGGTTTGTAGTACTCAATAGCCAGTGGATAACAAACCTGTGGATGTTGTTTCATAATGAAATTGGAATGTAGTTGATTTTTGCAGAGGGAAAAAAACTGGAGAACCCGGAGAAAAACCCTCAAAAAGCACAGGAGAGACCCAACTAGTAATTCTACTCACATATGACACCAAGTTCGGGAATCGAAACTTGGTTGCATTGGTGAGAGGCGAGTGTTTGCTCTCACAGATACACCTCCTGCGCTTCCCCTTTGCTAAGGACGGAGAGAAAAAATATCATAACGCAGGCGAGAACCAACCAGCACTCTGCTCAACTTTACTCACATATAATAATGAGTCCAGGGTATGTACCTGTGATCACATCAGTGAGAGGCAGCACAGTATATGCTTGCCAGCAATTTGTTTTTCTTTCGTTAATATCTATGAATGACTGCAGTTTGGTGAAAGGGGGTGACTCACTGTTTAACTTCAAAAGTCAAAGCAAAATCGATTTACTCATTATAATCAACATTTTTTGACTTTAAAAAAATGAACTCTATGAACTGGTTGACATTTCCTAATAAAAACTAGTTGTAAGACTGATAAGAACTGCATTGTTGGTCCAACCCAAAATTTAAACAACAATGAAGTTTACTGGTAAACATCATGTATATTGATGATTTATTTTGCGAATGTCTTTTGATGTTACTCCATTACCAAAGTTTAAGCTTAAGACCTATGGCGCTAGGGCATTCTCCATTTGTGGGCCTGTGTTATGGAATACTCTTCCCCAAGATATTAGATTATGTTCAAGTTTGGATA